TTATTCATTACGTCAATTGGCCTTTGATCGTTGGTCGCCATCTTCATCGTCTCCATCTCCGCCAACGGATTAGCCCTGAGGTCTCCGTCACCATCGCCTCCTCCCTCCTTTCTCCCGCCGTCTTCATCACTCGAATCATCGTCGTCATCTGTGTTGTCCCTATCTTCCTCTTCACCGCAGCATGATTCCGAGTCGGATTCAGAATTGTCGTTGTCAACCTGTCCGCCACCGTTTAGCTCTTCAATTCGATGGAGGCCCTGCTTCTTGTCGTTCGTCAGAGAGTTGAGTGGCGCGGAGGCGGTTGCAGTCCTTTTGTTAGGAACAATGGTTCCCTGTAACGTGACCCATACCCCTTTGTATTTGAAGCGCATCGTCATCAGCTGCCAATTAATTGTGGCCGGGCTCAACCTCTTAAGACAATGAACTCCGAGAACGACGTGGAGTCCCCGCAGCGGCAGTTCGTACAAATCCTCTTCAAGTTGAACCCCTTGTACGTCAAGTGAGACCGTCTTGTAACATCGTTCACAAATTATGGAGTCTCCATTGGTGAACTTAACTTTGAAAGGCAGAATTGGAGTAGCTGTCAAGAACAACCTACTGGCAGCTTCACGACTCACAAAGTTGTGCGAGGATGCACTGTCCACGAGGGCAACAACTGATTCTTGATGGACGGTTGTGTTGAAGCGGATAATCGTGGGACTGTAGATGCCGGTGAGAGCGGACAATGAGATCTCTGCATCGGCCGGACTAGGAGGTTTATCCGGCGGCTCGTCAATCTCGATCGGTGGTTCTCCATCGACAAGCTGTAAAGCTTCATCCCTTGACAACCTTCTGCGTTCGTCCAGTTGCTTCTGGATGATGCAAGACCTCTCATCGATTGGCGAAAAGCATGCCCTATATGCGAGCATTGTCGAGCTCGATTCCTCGGAACGTCTCTTCATTCCTTTGCTTGGCAGGAATGGCCGATCCTCTCTCAACGGTTGCTGGACAAGAGCAGTTGATGAAGCGTGCCCTGGGAGCGATTTCGAGCTCGGTTCTGTCGAACCAGGCTCTGATACCAATTGATGCGGAACGGTATTTCGCGCACCGGTGATCTCGAACGATTTAGCGAAAGAACTAGAAAACACGATAAAAGAGCTACTTTTCTCTACTAACTACTTATACTTTATTCATCGACTTAATAAAACGAAGAGCAAAGGTACATATTTATAGGACAAGTCCCACAAACCCCTTTCCCCTTAAGACAAGGAAACCCAAACCCAAAGCAACAAGTAAACGAATACCTCCTAAGCAAGATACATAATAATAATCCTAGACCCAAACTAATACGAATAACCCGAATAATAACTGAATATCCCAACAAATAATAATAATAAAACAATAATAATAATAATAATATCAATGGGCCCGGCCTAAGACGCCGTTCCCCATCACGTAGTACTTCAGCTACAGCTCAATTGTGTTATTGCTTCTATTTAAGGTTGTCGACTTATGTAAGGTTAAAGGTAGTTCCCAATGCTTGATCAACTTGGTACTTGTACTTGGCTGCCAAAGGCAGGCGAGGGAGTAGTGGACTAGTGGTCGACGACGCAATTCGGGATGGTTCAATATGAGTATGGCTTCGTGAGCACTTCTCTAGTTTTTTTAAGTTATATAGTGTTATGAAATTGCAATTGCAAAACGAAACCAATTGTAATTATGGTTTTTTCTTGTCATCTCTACATTTTTACAATCAAATTCATATAACTTTTATTGTATCTACATAATGCAATTCAATTGTTGACAGTATATGTGGGTCCAAATTATTTTATTAATAAAATTATATTTACATTATTTTATCCGTATTGAGTATTAAAATTAAATAAGATAATAAATCCTTGTATCTTGATTATAACGAAAAATCATATAATTGATGCATGAATTTTTTTATTATTAATTGATAAAGATGTTTTGGATTTTATAATCAATTAGAAAGAATTTAGTAATCAATAAATGTACCTAAAATCAAAATAAAATGCTAGAATAGGCACAAACATAATTTTCAAACAGGACATATAAATAAAGGCAACAAATTATATAAAATTTAAAAACAACAAGATATATAAAAAATGTAATTAATCGTCATATTCCTTGTCCCCAAACCTCTTCTATCAAAATCTTACTAAAGTTGATTTGATTGTAGACAATTTACAAATTCTTGTATGATATCGAAGATATTCTTCATACTTCAGGAGACAAGTATTTGAAATTATAGTCATAGATGCGCTAAAGTTGATAACATCAACTGTATTATAAATATAACGATTATATGAACAACGCTTTTTGTAGTGCACTATTGGAACCAGGGGCGGAGACAGTGTCTTAGAAGGGTGTGCCGTTAGGGGTGTTCAAACGGTTTGGTTACCATGGTAACCGTTTTAACCAGTACTATTTGGATAATTTGGTTTGGTTAATTTGGATAATTGGTTTGGTTTGGTTAAAGTTTTTAGCTTGTTTGGTTTAGGTGGTTTGGTTTGGTTTCAGACACTCCTAACCAGTCAAACCAAATTAACCAGTTAAGTAATTAGTCATATATCTAACATATATTATATACACATACTTAATACTTTGCACAACCACTCAAGAGTTAACGTTCATCCATTTTAGACTCATAAAATATAAAGCTCAATATTGTTCATATAGTGTATATTTGTATATGTAAAATGTAGACCACAACATATGGACGCCTAATTTAGATAAATTTCATACATTATGATGGATGAAAACTTGAAAGGAAGGTCATTTCCAGCCTATGATAATTGCTAAGAGACTAAGTCAATTTACACAAACACAACAATTCATTAACCCATACCATTGTCATAAATTTTTGTTAGGTGAATACTTCTATACTAATCGTAAGATAATTGTCTTAGTTGCATGTATTTTTGTTAAGGGTCAACTATAACTACGTGTTGATTGTTATGTTTTATTCATTATATAAATTGCGAATTGTTGCATTAACCGGAAAATTTTCATCGTCAATGATAATGTGATTTTATATTGGTTAATCTGGTTAACCAATTAACCAAACCGATTAAACTTTAGTTTGGTTAATTTGGTTGTTGTATTAGTTTGGACGGTTTGGTTATGATATTGTATTCCATGGTTAATGGAATTTAGCCTTATTTGGTTTGGTTATAACCATGGTAACCATTTGAACACCCCTATGTGCCGTGGCACACCCTTGGATCGGAGCTAGAACATCAAAAAATAGGGGTATTAGTTTATGCTATAGCTAGGATTTGAACGTGGAACCCCCTTACTATTAGCTTTGACATTTTCCACTAAACCACAATTACTTACATGATACACTAATACGTTTTATTGCATATATATAATTTACCGTTTACAAATAATAAGTAAATTAAATTAAAAAATCTCATAATTACATATGCTTATTCAAGAAGTAAACGAAAATTTAACCCTAACGCTTCTCCCAGTCCCACCCGACCCTTCATCTTCCTCGTTCCTCTTTCCATTTGGAGGCCGGCCGGCAACAACTTCTTCGAAGAGTATATCTGAAAGACTGAAACTCTCATCATCTGAACTCTGAAGCCTGAAGATATTGTTTGATATTCTGATCCTTGCCCAAAATATGAGAACCCGTCGTGGGTCACTATAAAAAATTGATAGTCATTTACTCATTTTATTTTTTTTTAAATTGGCACCCCCTTACCCAAAATCCTGGCTACGCCACTGATTGGAACGCGCAATAAATAAAATAATAAGTTAACATTTTTACAATACAATATAATAAATTTACTATTTATATATCAATAGTGAAGTAATTAAAATAATATATTATTGAATATGTTATGATACAAAACCCTTCTATTATGTAGGAATACAAAACAATATGTGGATGGGTAAGATTGGAGAAGTTGTGATCTAATGGAGGAGGGAAAATAAAAGCTCGGGCAAAGAAATTTAAGGTAGCAGTCGACATTATCGACTGAATTAAGTTCACCAAAGTTGGGAATTTCGGGAGAACGATGGTGGAATTGACTAGGAAAGACTAAAATCGTCCGAAGACTAGGTATCACTACAAGGTTGAGCAACCTAAGCTAGAATCGGTCTAACCGACGAGGAGTTAATTCGAATTTTTTTTTATGTAGATTAATTAGAAGGGAAAATCTGGTCAACCACGTCTATTCTGTTCTCCGTGAAAGGGCAGCGATAGCAACGGGAGAATTGCAGGCCAGAAGAAAGAAGAAACAACGGGGATGCATATTTCTTACTTATTTGATTGTTTTTTTATTTTTTTATCATTTTAGTTTATCATTTATTTGCCAATGTGGCAGGTTTTTTGAAGTGGCGAGCCAGGTTTCAATTTTTGAATTAAAACTTATTGACTAGACATTTCTGTTAAGCGTTAACCATGTCCAAAAAAACTAACGTCGTTAACAAAGACGGACAAAAACCAACGAACAACGACCAAATTAAGACTGTTGAACTAATCGCAGTGACCACAAATAGATAAAAAAAAGTATTTTAGTGACCACCGTGTAACATTTTAGGATTTCCAGGGATCAAAATTTGTAATTTATCATAAAATAAATTGATAGCGGCACTCGTTGAGACCACTACCGAGCTAAGGAAACAACAACAAAGCTTTATGGAAGCGCCAAAGTTTGTAAAAATCGAGACGGCCGGTGAAGACCGTTAGGTTACAGTTACCGATTGAGACGAGGTAAGGGAAAGGGGGAGGAGACGGAGGCGGCAAAGCGACGCCAATTCTCTTGTTTCCGCTCCTCTATAAACTCCGTTAGAAAACGCATTTGATGACGGCATTCCTATGCCTTTCTCTCCCTCCTTGATAAAAAATCCAAATAAAATCATATTTGCATTCCCTCCCCTAACCGTAAAAATAAAAGAAGGAAAGAGAAGAAGAAAAGGAGAGCATAAAGCACAAACGAGGCCGAAAAATATACCTTTTTTTTTTCTTTGTTTAAAGTCGTAACCTGAAAGCAAAATCCCCAATCCCAGCAGCAGGCGGGCAGCTGTTAGAGAGAGAGAGAGAGACGTAGAGAGAAGGAGTCAGCCGCGCTCTGCCCGCCCCCGGCCCTCCTACTTTCTTCCCTAAAGAGAAACAAAAAACCAGAACTTCAGCCGTCGTCTCCGCCATTTCCGTCGCGCGATCGCCTCCCTGCAACTTTCTTTTAGCATTTTTCTTCCTCACACGCCGCAGTCATGAGCTCCAGGAATGCGGCTTCCCTCCACGCGTCTCCCACCGAGATTTCCGCGGTCTGATTGCACAGCCACCGCAGTCATCCAACTGTGTCCGTAATTCCTGCTCATCGCTTCTTTTCTGCCCCGATCTGATTTGGATCATTCAATCCACTCTTCTCCCTGTCAATAGGCTTTGGGATTCAATTCACTAGTTTTCGTCCGAATTTCTTGATACGCTGAGATCTCTAAATCAGCTGCCGCCGGGGCATCCACTGTTGCATAGGCTTCTGTGGGAATTCTTCGTTTTGGTTCTTTTTTCCATTTTTGTTCCGATCATCTGATTTGATTCAGGAGCAGTTCGATCGATTTGTTGTATACATCGAGGTTGAGCGGAAATGCCAGGTATGTCTATGTTTCTGTTTTCTCGCCGAGCTATTTGTGGAATTTGGATCAAGCCGTGGTATTTAAGGAATGTGGTTCATTGCATTTGGGGATCGGTGGTTTGTTGTAGGAGATGGAACAGTGCGTTACTACCAAGAGAATGGCAAGGCTAAAGCGTTGGATCTGGAGACTTCTGAGGACGAGAAACGAAGAACCAGGGGTAGATCTCTAAGAAAAAAGGCGATGACCGCTTCCACCAAGCTCACGCACAGTCTCAAGAGGCGTAGCAGCAGGAGAGTGGCTGATTGTAGATATGCCGCAATCTCTGTAAATGATGTTAGGGATGCCAAGGAGGAGGCAGCTGTTAATGCATTTCGGCAGGCATTGGTCACAAAGGACTTGCTGCCCCCTCGACACGATGATTACCACACTCTGTTGAGGTGATCTCTTCCTTCTGTTGATTCCCGCAATCATAATATAAGCTTTTTTTTTATTGACCCATCTGCTTATGCTGTGTAGTATTAGAATCTTACGTTTCCTTTATCAGCTACTCAGATCAGTGGTGCAGATAGACTGTGTTGTTAGTGGCCCTTTGATCTTTAGATACATGGGTAGCCTCTACTAGTAGAACTGATGGAATATGTTGGCTGACATGATTGGTAGTTAACTGCGTAATAGAGCTGAATCCTTAACATCAAATCAGATATCTTTTGGAGTCGGATATGTGTTCTTTTAGATCACAGTTGTTTATTGTTCTCTGATTTCTGAACTCGTAAGGTTTCAGAAATAATACCGCCCCATAAACACTGTTCTTTTTTTGGGGGGGGGGGGGGGGGGGGTAAGGTTTCAGAAATAATACCGCCCCATAAACACTGTTCTTTTTTTGGGGGGGGGGGGGGGGTAGAGGCACTAGGAAATGGGAATGCTTCAGTCCTGGTACACCTTAAATCTTGAGCAATTGTTGATGCAGGTTTCTTAAGGCGAGGAAGTTTGACCTTCACAAAACTATCCTCATGTGGTCAGAGATGCTATACTGGAGGAAAGAGAACGGAGTCGATTCCATTTCACAGGTACACGTCACAGTGATAAGATTTCTCTTGGGAGAAGTCTAGATATTGATACTGACCCCCTCTACACCTGTACTTTTTTTTTTATCATACTGGTTCCGTGACCAGTAATTCTGACTGATGCATTTACATGTTCTCTATGTTCAGGATTTTGTATATGAGGAATTTGAAGAGGTACAGCGGCATTATCCTCATGGTTACCATGGTGTAGACAAAGGAGGCCGACCTGTTTATATTGAAAGAATTGGAAAGATAGAACCTCACAAGCTAATGAGTGTGACTACTGTGGATCGATTTTTGAAGTACCATGTCCAGGGTTTTGAGAAGGCATTTTCGGAGAAATTTCCGGCATGCTCTATTGCAGCCAAGAGGCACATAGATTCCACAATAACCATACTTGATGCTCATGGACTGGTATATTTTTTGATTATTGCTGTCATGTACAATTGATGTATATTTGAATGTTTTATGCATCTTTTTATTTGAATGTCTCCACAGAATTGGATGAGCTTCGGCAAGGTTGCGCATGATCTTGTAATGCGCATGCAAAAAATTGACGGGGACAACTATCCTGAGGTATTGAATCTTCTTATACTTAATTTTGCCGTCTGAAAACCCACTCCTGATATAATCATTCTCACACTGTTTATCATTTATTACACACTGACATTAAGGCATTTGTCTTTCTCCACAGACTCTGCATCAGATGTACATTGTTAACGCTGGAAGTGGATTCAAACTGTTGTGGAATACAGCTAAAACCTTTCTTGATCCCAGAACTACTGCAAAGATCAATGTATGTGCATCATCATCTGTCCTTTCTTTTTATTAAAAGTTCTATGATTGACTAAATAATAGTTCATCTGATGACCCAGGTTTTAGGTAACAAGTTCCAAAGTAAGTTGTTGGAGGTCATTGACTTAAGGTTGGGCTTCCTTTCCTTATGTGCTATTGTTGTTCTGTTCTATTGTGGGGTTGTTATGTAACATGCTAAAAGATGTGGTTTTGTCATGTTCTTGAACAGCCAATTACCGGACTTTCTTGGTGGATCTTGCTGCTGTGCTAATGAAGGCGGTTGTCTTAGGTCTGAGAAAGGACCATGGAAGGATCCGGAAATAATGAAAGTACGATTAGTGCTGGTTGTCGTGACTTGGAGCTGTTATAATATATACTTTTCTTCTTTTTGTCTCAAGTAAAAACTGCATCTTTAATTGCAGCTGGTACATGCTGGAGATGCACTATACCTAAGAAAAATGAGATCTCTTTCTGATGAAGAGGACATAGACATCAAGTTATATTCCTCAAAGGTAATTCAAAGGACATTAAGAAAAAGTACTACACAGTTGTTCTCGGCTGAGTTAGTAATATATGTCTATTATTTATGCAGACATCAAGAAGCGAGATCACAACTGCTGATGCAAGCCCAAATTTGAGGCAGAACGATTTCACTCAACAAGTCCTGCCAGAATTTATCCAAGTACGTCCGAACCAATGGGTATGTCACTGTCTGTTGTGGTTTCACCTTCTCATTCATTATATTTTATTCATGGTTTGCTGAAATCATTGGCTACAAATAGATGACAAAGAATGTAGGATTAGGAGAAACAGAAAAAGGGGCCCAGGGGTGAGTTAAAGTGGGACTTTGAACCCTTAAATTTTGCGTACTTGCTGTTTGACTTTTCTGGAATTGCACTGCCTCATTATTGTGCTTCTGATAGCTTCCGGTATGAATGCAGAAGAATTAGTTTTCTTGGTTGAAGTATGATTAAGTGAAGTCAGTACTGGTGTGCAAAGTTCAGTGTTTCTGAAAAGTTTTGATCAAGTTGTGTTTAATCTCTTTTTTAACGTAAACGTTTGGTACTATAATCATGGTGGTAGTTGTTGGTAGATGATGGTCAATATATTTTTATCATCATGTATACCACCATTTTACATTAAATACATTCCTGCTACTGTGTTACATTTTCATATCACCATGATATAATAAGTACATAGATTAACGCTTTATTTTTTTCTCCGAAATATATCAAAGTGGATGTTTTTTGTGTTTCGAGTCAAGATGAATGAGATATAACCTGTTACATTTTAATGAGGGAATATTTATAATTGAGTAGCTATATGTTACGCACCGGATATGCTCGCATATGTTGCTTAGTCTCCATGAAGTGCCTACCTTAATGAAAAGTTTTATTTTTTATGTTGTTTTTGCGTTAACCAGAGACCAGCAGCTGATCGATCTGCATTTGATAGTGTAATTGAACGCCATGTTCAGGCTGCTAATCAAACAAGTACGTGACCTATTACTGATTGAATTTTAGATAGGTGTCTCCTGCCTATTACAGTTGTTTCTCTTCTTATCTGAACATGAAATTATAGATTGCAATGAAGTAGTCTTCTCATTCCCAGCATAGTTAATCACTATCAACACTTGCACTTTCATTGTTTAAGATTCAATTAAAAGCTAGATCTGCACCTTGTATCTAAGTCATTGTTTTCTTAGATAGGGTGATATAGGCTTACTTTTTGTGGTTAGCAGTGGTCTAAGTCATTGTTATTCCCCATGCACACTTGTAGACATTTTTATACAACTTCACAGTTTAAGTAACTTTCTCATATACCATAGGCCACTTTGTTTTGAGATTTGTAATCTAATTTTTGTGCAGATATCACAACTGAGGATGTTTCCCTTGAAAATCCCACTGGAACACGTTTTGTTGTACGCATTGTGGTGAAGTTGTTAGCATGGGTATACCTTGTACTTCCAAAGATGGGGAGATTATTTGCAGCCGAGCATGCAAGGAGGCAATTGCAGAGCCGATCTGAGCCAGTATCAGCAGGTTCAAGTTCACACGAGCAGCATGTCCCACTGGAAACAAAAGAGGATAGGTTGCGACCGTGCTGGCAGAGGCTGCAGCATTTGGAGAAAATGGTCAACGAGCTGGTCAACAAACCCACAAACATCCCCCCTGAGAAGGAGGATATGATTCTAGATTCTTTAAGCCGTATTAAAGGTATAGAATATGATCTACAGAAGACAAAGAAGGTGAGATTTCCCTCTTCCTGAGCATAGCTATACAGAAACTCGAGCAGAACAATAGCTTTCACCATTGCTTCATCAAATGCCTGATGCCCTGTATGCCAACATTTTACTTTGCAGGCACTGCTGGCAACAGCGTCAAAACAAGTGGAGCTTGCTGAGTCACTTGAAAATCTGAGGGAGTACAAAATATCTGTAAGTTCTTGTGACTTCTAACAACTTTCCATTATCATACTCATGCCTGCTAGCATTATAGCTCATCAGACTTTGACCAATCAAATTAAGGTAGCCAATCCCTCGTGAATGGTCTACTAGGGTTTAAAAGGACAGTAGAGGATTCTGCTTCGGTGAATTTCCCTTCATGTGGTAGTTAGGATGCCATTTGAACATCGTGACTATGCAGCCAGAATTCCTAAATAGAATCCAACTTGAAGTAGAACTCGCAAAAGCTGGGTTGTTCATCGAAGATACAGCCCCCCCATATTTTTGTAGCAATTGATAACTGAATTGGCAAGGTTGATGTCAATATAGCGAGTGAGTACATGTTTCCTCTTATCTGCTTATTTGAGGGCCGACATTCCGAAGTAAGTCATTTGCAAAAATGGGAAGTAGGAAAAGAAGGACCCGGTGAGAATAATAGTATCCAATAAGACTGAGAAGTTGCTGAGTGCTGACTTCGTTGAGTCTTGTGATATCTACAGGGACCAAACTCTTGTTGGCCAAGACATTGCAAACCCTCTGCCCCAGAATGATGAGATGTACATTTTTACTGTCCCAATCAAAAGGTGAAGACACTGTCATGACTTGCAGCCACTAACCAATGTGAAGTTACTAAGCGGGATCAAGGAGGATTGGTAATACGAGGTACCTATTGCAGCAAGTTGTTTCGAGATCTCGTATAAACTACTCCCCAAATTTGGCACAAATCACTGGCTATTATTCAGATGCAGGTTACTTGTAACCAAAATGGGTAGAAATGAAAATGTTTTATAGTTTGGAGGGAGTTGAGATGCATTCTCATCCCTCTTTGGTTTAACCTTGTTTCTGTGATTTGTTGTTGGGCAGGGAAAAAAGAGGGATGTTTGTATACAATACAAAATAGGAGAATGGGTGTGGAGGGATGCTGAATTCTTGTGGGATAAAAGGTGTGATGCGGGTGTATAGTTTACATGTAATGTTGTTGTACATAGACCAAATAGATAAAGGGAAATAAACGCTCTCTTATTCGGACCTTATTTTTTTATGCTGAGCCCGAGACTGGAAGTTATGGTATGATGATTGATTATATATAGCCGCTGTCTGGAAAACATGGAACTTGAGGCGAATTGTGAATTTGAGATTTTTTAATTGTTATTACTGCAGTTGCTAGTAGTGTTTACTGTGGTGGATGATCAAAATGCATCCTCTTTGGTTGCCGTCCAGCATGGTTGTCACGCCGGCCGGCATGCCATCGATTGAACTTGGTTCAATCGGTATCGGTAATAAAATCAGCGTGACACCACCAGTATGATCGATATATGAATCTCTAAATAAAATAATCGTGAATTTAATTGATAAAAATTATTTTATTATTTATGTTATAAAAGTTAAATATTGATGTTATTTGTTGGATTCAATTATAAATGTTTAGATATTAATGTTAAACGTCATGTTTAAATATGAGTATTTATAATTTTATTTGTAATATTCACCGGCATGAACCGGCACAAACCAGTATCTGCCACCGATCAAACCATTTCACTTGCTAAACCGGCACACCGATATAAACCGATTTGACAACCGTCCAGTGGAGTGGGCTTCCCATTCCTTACACCGTTGACTTGTCTTCGCAGCAAATAAATGTACAAAAAAAAAAAAGTTGAATATATACGTAAATAAGCCACCACCAGCTCCACCGCCGCCCACCACCACCGCTCCACATGTGCTTCTGCCATTTCCTTCCTCCACCCGCACACCGAATCAATCAATTCCTCCCGCAAAGTAAAGTGGCCACCAAACGCCACCATCGTTAACCCAATTTCCCCATCCTCCTTTCTAGATCGCAGCACCCTCTTCTCTTCTCTTCTCTTCTCTTCCTCGCAAAACAAAAACAAAGAAGAAATGTCCCCTCCTTCCTCTCCACCGCCGCCGCTTCCTCTTCCAGCTCCATCGCCTCCTCCCTCCTTCCCCACCAACAAGAAGTCTCAGCCCATCCCTTGGACCCAACAAGAAACCCTCCACCTAATCCTATCCTACCAGGACAAATGGTACTCCTCCAAGCGTCGGCACCTCAAGTCTCACCAGTGGGAAGAGGTCGCCATCACCGTCGCCACCCGCTGCGGCTTCGATTTCACCTCCCCGGAGGCCAAATCGGGGACCCAGTGCCGCCACAAGATGGAGAAGCTCCGCAGCAGGTACCGGGTCGAGCTCCACACCGCTTCCTCCGCCGCCCTGGGTTCCAATTGGCCCTATTTCACCCTCATGGATTCCATGGAGTGTGGTGGCCCTCCCGCCCCCATTTCTGCTCGCCCTCTGTCTCAGGTTGCCCGCCGGGATCACGACGGACTGTCCGCCGCTGCGGCCACCGGAGGATATGGGAGCGGCGGCGAGTACTACGGCGGCCAAGATGAGGAAGGAGAAGGAGAGGATTATGAAGCGTACTACAACAGGTCCCGCAGCATAAATCACATAATCCGGAAGCCTAGCATTGTGAACAGGTTTCCAGGGAGCAGCAATTTAGGGTTTCTTCAAGACGCGGCAGCTGCGATGGGAGCAAAGAGGAAGAGAGGGGAGGAGGAGGAAGAAGGGAGTGAAAAGGGGTTTGGGTTAGTGGATGAGATAAAGACGTTCATTGAGAAGATGAAAGGGGTGGAGAGGAAGAAGATGGAGATGTTCAAGGAAACAGAAAGATGGAGAATGGAGATGGAAAGGAAAAGGGTAGAGATGATGTTAGCTTCTCAGAGGAAGATTCTTGACTTGATTGCAGCAGCAGCTGCTGCTTCTTCTGAGCGCTAGCTAATTACAGTGGTTCTTCCTTGCAACTAAGGATTGTACTTTCGATTTGCACAATCTTACTAGGTTACTCCAAATAGTGATTGATATTCTCTTCATTTGTCTTGGGTTTTCAACGGAAGACATCGTTACTAATATAGTAATATACGAAAGCTAAATCAAATCCTTGGTACTTTATCGGACATTCCCTTCATGGATTCTGTTGGGCATGTGACTCGGGCCTAGCCGCGCCAAAGAACAAGTCGGGCCCGGCCACGTCGAGGAACAGGGCGCGACTGGATGGACCCCGACATGGCAGCGCGAGGACCCCGAGCGCCACGCCGCATCGTAGTCAACCACGTCTTGGCGCGAAGAGCTTAGGCACGAGGCGAATTACAAGCGCCGAGGGAGAGCATAGCGTAGGCCAAGCCAAGAGAGAAGGGGAGCGTAGCTTTCCTTCCCAAGAGGTAGTCACATCAGGGCCATTGACGGGTCTCTGACACGTCCTAGGTAGAGGGATGGCCTGGACAGGGCCTAAAATCCTTAGTGTCAGTGGTCACATCATTGTATCCCAATAGTCACATCGTTGTATCCCCACTTGAGTCAACCACTCACCCACCACAACGAAGACTATAAATACGGCATTTACTGCGGTGGGTGAGGGGATCGCATTTTTCACCATTCTCTCTCTATAGCGACTACTTCTCTTTCTAAAATTCTGATCCACATTCTGACTAATTCTCAAATTCTCAATCCTCCGATCAACCCGAGCACTTGTGTTTCTTCTTGACCCAAACACTCACTCGAACCTCACTCCTACACTCAGTTAGGTTCAAACAATTGGCGCCCACCGTGGGGCCAAGAAGAAGCGCAGAAGAAAACCCACCAATGGCAGAACGCAACCACGATCAACCTGACGAAGCAACGCCCATCAAGGCGATGACCGACCCGAGGGCGTTCGCGGAAGCCAGCAGCCTCAACGCGGTGCTTATTGAAGAAGAGGAGCCCGAAATGACAGCCAAAGAAATGAGGGAGCTAGTGACAAAGCAAAACAACGTCATAGCCGACATGCAGAAGCAAATGAGCCAGGTCATCGCGCTCATGATGAGCAGGGAGGCCGCGCCGACAGCAGAGGCAACGGCGGTCGCGCCTCAACAAGCCGTGGGAGAGGCGTCCGGAACCGCCCAACCACCACGACACGCGCCAGCGGAATTCCCCGCGGGAGAAACGCAGGGAGTTGAACTACCGGGGCGGGCGGACCTCAGCTTCTTGGAGCAACACCTGTCTCCGCAATATCGACCTAACCCGCCCAAAAAGGTTCTCCACCAGCCGTTGAGCGCACAAATTATGGCGGAGCACCTAAGTGGAGCGCCACCCATTCTCCCAACATACAACGGCACGACCGACCCAGAAGACCACGTGAGCGCCTTCTGCTTGCGCATGCAACTCCAGACAAACTCGAATGCGGCGCTGTGCAGAACCTTCCCATCAACCTTTTCGGGAATATGCCTCGACTGGTACAACCGCCTGCCGAACGGAATCATCCGCTCGTTCGAAGAGTTCATACTTCTGTTCACGACAAAGTTCGCGTCCCAGAAGCGACGCCCTCTTCACCTCAAGGCCCTGATAGATATCAGGCAAAAAGACGGAGAAAGCTTGAGAGCCTTCTACGCCAGATGGTCCCGGGTAGCGATGGCCGTCCGCGACCTTACCCCCGAAACCGCCGCCCATCACCTCATGGAGGCCACCAACAACATGGAGCTCAAGCGGGCGCTAGCAAAAAGGCCCGTCACGCTGTCAACAGAGTTGGAAATGAAGATTGAAAAGGCAATCACGTTAGAAGAGACCCTGGGGGCGGGATACATCAGACGCTTCGAGCCAGCAAAAATGCCGCAAGAGGAACTGGCTCGTCGACAGCCTCAAACCCCAATCCCACGAGACCAGTTGCTACAGATGCACAGTGGCCCGAAGCGCAACCCTCCTCCCCCACCAGAGCAGGCGCATCGCGGCCGATCGCCAGACAGGCGCCCATCCAACGCCTACACTCCCCTTAACGACTCCGTGAGGAACGTGTTCCACGTCCTCCGCGAGAAGGGCTACAAGCTCAATTGGCCTGCCCCATTGAAGTCCCAACCACACATGCGCAATCCAAATAGGCATTGTGAATTCCACAGGGCAACGGGGCACCAGACGGAAGACTGCCGAGAGCTACGGTACGAAATAGAGGGCCTCATACGGCGAGGCTTACTAACCGAGTTCACTCACGTGAAGAAAGAGCAGGTTGAGGCCCCGCAGCACCCTCCCCCACCCCCACAAGCCGATTACGACGACGACACGGGTGCGTATGTAGTGCGCAAAGAAATCGGGGTGGTAACAGTTGAAGGAGATCGCCCCAAGAAAAAAACCAAGCGTGAGCGCGCAACGGAGTGCGCGGCTGTCGACGCACCGACAAAGTTCAATCTGAGCTTTGATGACGCGGAGTTTCCACAAGGAATCCCGTCAGAAGAGCCACTCATCGTGACCGCGCTGATTGCCGGCTGCAAGACCCACCGTCTCCTGATAGATGGGGGTAGTGCGGCTGACATCCTCTTCCAGAGCACCATTAACAAAATGGACATCGACCCGCGCCTAATCAGGCGCGCACAAGGCAACCTGGTCGGTTTTTCCGGGACCAGAGTCCCGGTGATTGGGGTGGTCACCCTCCCAGTGGTAATCGGCGACCAGGAACCGCGCGTCTCCAAGCAAGTGGAGTTCACAATCGTCAATTGTGAATCGGCGCACAACGGCATCTTAGGCCGACCTTTCCTTGCAAAGTTCATGGCCCTCCCGTCGACGTGCCACCCGAAGCTCAAGTTCCCAACACAGAGAGGAGTGGGAGAAGCGCGGGGAACGACATGGGAAGACCGCGTCGTGGCGCGGCAAACCAACATAGTCGACACAAGAGCCGAAGAACCCCGACCGGAGTCCATGGACTCCGACTTCGAGGTCGCGCTGGACTCCGCCGAGCCGACTAGGAAGATACGCATCTCCACTCACGTCGCTGGCGAAGCGATCGAACCACTCGTGACGTTGCTGAAAGAGTACAAGGAGCTTTTCGCGTGGTGCACAGAGGACATGCCAGGGGTGCCCAGAGAGGTAGCTCAACACAGCCTCGCAGTCCCAGCCAACGCGGAGCCAAGGCAACAAGGGCGGAGGGTATTCACCGGCGACAAGCTGAAGGCGATAGAAGAAGAGGTGGCGCGCCTCCTGGAGGCCGGATTGATCCGCCCCGTGAAGTATCCAAAGTGGCTGGCAAACGTGGTTTTAGTCAAAAAATCGTCAGGAGCTTGGCGGATGTGCGTCGACTACACCACGATCAACAAAGTATGCCCGGGAGACCCTTATCCCCTACCGCGCATCGACCAGCTGATCGACGCCACTGCTGACCATGAGACATTGTCTTTCCTAGACATGTTCTCAGGATACCACCAAATCCCGATGTCCGTGGAAGACGAAGAAAAAACGGCGTTCATGACACCGTTCGGGAACTTTTGCTTCGTAGGGATGCCGTTCGGATTGAAGAACGCGGGCGCAACATACCAGAGAATGATCGATACTGTCTTCTCGCGACAGATCGGGCGAAACATCGAGGCGTATGTGGACGACCTCATTGTCAAAACGAAGTCGGAGAAGTCACACCTGGAGGACCTGCGCGAGACTTTCGAAGCCCTCCGCAAACACAGCCTTCGCCTCAACCCACTCAAGTGCGTTTTTGGAGCGGAAGCGGGGAAATTTCTTGGGTTCATGATAACCAGGCGCGGCATAGAGGTCGACCCAAAGCAAATCACCGCGGTCCAACAACTACGGGCGCCTCGGAATGCATTGGAAATCCAATCTCTGAATGGCAAAATAGCGGCACTGGGGAGATTTATACCAAGGTCCGCCGACAAGTGTGCGCCTTTCTTCCAAACACTCAAGAACGGGACACGCTTCGCATGGACGACAGAATACGAAGCAGCGTTCCAAGAGCTAAAGGCGTATCTTGTATCCCCCCTGTACTGACTGCCCCCAAACTCAATGAAAAACTTTTTCTGTATCTCGCTGTGTCAATAAGGGCTGTGAGCGCAGTACTGATATCTAGAAGAGATGGCAAAACCGAGCAACCGGTGTATTACACCTCGCGCACTCTAGTCAGCGCAGAAACAAGATACTCCTCGATCGAGAAGGCTGCCTTGGCACTAGTAAGCGCCTCCCAGAAGCTGCGCCCGTACTTCCAAGCGCATCAAATCACCGTCCTGACAAACCTCCCACTAAAAAAGATACTAACTTCGATGGAAGTGTCAGGACGCATGGTCAAGTGGGCGGTCGAGCTGTCGGAATACGATATCCAATACGCGCCAAGACCGGCAATAAAGGCCCAAATCCTAGCGGACTTCATCGCAGAAGGGGTGACCCTTGAAACAACGCCAGAGGGCGTGTGGGAAGTCTACGTTGATGGAGCGGCGAGCAAGCATGGCGCCGGAGCAGGAGTTGTGGTGCGCACGCCTGCTGGCGCGGTGCACGAAATCGCAATCAGGTTCCGGGCGCTGAAAACAAACAATGCCGCGGAATACGAGGCCATCTTGGCGGGGATGACGGCCGCTCACGACTTGGGAGCAAGAACGATACGGATCCTCTCCGACTCCTCCCTGGCGGTCAATCAGCTGAACGGCGCGTTTGATGCAAAGGAAGATGCACTGGCACACTACATGGAGCGTGTTAAGCTGAAAGCCACGACATTCGAAGCAGTAACATATGCGCAGATACCAAGAGAAGAGAATGCACACGCCGACGCGCTATCTAAGCTGGCAACGGCTACTGACTTCGAGTCCACGCGCCTTGTGTCCGTCCAAAAAGAAGAAGAAGCCTCCTCGGAGGTGGCCATCAACACAACCCAGCTCATGTCAAACGAAGACTGGAGGCACCCGATTATGAAGTACCTCCAAGATGGGACAGTGCCAGAAGACCCTAAGCAAGCTTGGACTCTAAGGCAAAAGGCGGCCCGT